GTCGTGAAACACGGTCTTTATTTACCGTTTTAATACGATCGTATCCTGGAATGAGTGTCATTTGGTCGTTGGATCCCGTGAACTCTGCAGAACTTTTTGAAGAGTTCAAGGTATCTTGCAATGTTGAGATGACTAACGTAACATAAAGAAAGCCAACACCTTCAGTGACTTTATTTCAGCTGAACGAAGCGAATCCTGACCTAGAAATTGCTTTAGCAATTAAAAGTGACACTGACGTTACTGTTGACGACTCCCCAGAAGGCAAGCACAGGACTAACTCGCAAATAAGAGATGTTTACTGCAACCAAGATAAAAAGAGGCTAAATTATCAAAAGTTTTTAAAGCGCAGTGTACAATTCATTAGCTGAGGTACTGTGTTTTTTAGGTGTGCAAAGAACAGACCAAAGTCCATCGGAAAAAAAGGCGTCACAGCAACGTGTCAATCCAGTTTTACAGAGACAACTGTGTCGTCTGCCCCATCTAGCAGTTGGGGATGTCGCTCGCATGATGAGATCCGAAAAAGCAACATGTCTTCTCGATGTTATTAATGCAGACTTGAACAGCATCGGAGAGATGCTTAACAATCTGACTTTAGCCAGTGCTCTTTGGGAGTTTTTTAATACAGACTTCAGGACGTGAGGGCCTAAGAGTACTGATGTCTGGTAACATGAATGAATTCAGACCGAACTGTTTTACTGGATGAAGTGTGATCCCAACCTGACATCAAAAACACTATAAAGTACATCTCCTACCTTTTCAATTAAATTCACTGTACATAGAAATACGTGCAAGGTTTACCATCTCTGATCATTCGTTGCAGACGCACTTACTTTACCAATAAAAAAATCCCGTTTTATTGTAACTGGTTTGTAATAATGCAACGCAAACATTTGCAAAATGCAAGCTGTTAAAAATCTCAACAGAGAAGAAGTGGCAACTATGTCTAAATCTTATTGCGACTTGTAAACGAGGGACTCTCAGCCCGATTTCGCCTAATCAACATATAGGATGCCAGAGGAAGAGCCTCATACGAGGAAGACTGCAGTTTATTCAAGATTCTGATGCCCAGACAACATTTGCTACCCAAAACTAACTCCTTTTCCTATGAAGACTTATATGATGCATCGGAAACACCTTGTTCAAAGACAGTAATGTTCACAATTTTTTAGACAACTTTAAATAGAGATGGAGACTATGACGATATACAACAGGGATTTCTTAGCATCCCTAATATTAGTGCATCACAGATACTGTACCATTTTAACAAAAGTTTTGCATACTAAACAGCGATGGGACTTTGGAGTCTGCAGAAATAGAGTGTTATTGAATGGGACGGCATATGATAGATGCCGCCAAAATTTCAAACTGTTTCAGACAATTTCTGTGGTTGCGAGGTCGGTGTAGATCTCCGCAACATCTAAAAAACAACAGAGATAGAAAAGAACAAACCCACTAGGAGAGAAACAGATGTAAGAAGTAATGAAAGAAATAAAAACTAAACGCTGAAAGAAACTTACAGAAAGAAAAGCCCATTTTGAAACATAATTAGTAAAATCTTGAGTGCTGGTCCACTTGCACCTCAAATAGCCATAAAGATTGGCACCATTCATTGCAAGTCCCATTAGTGCTATCACCATCCACTCCCATTTGAAAGTGATAAAGGCGATAGAAACTAACATTGCCCAGAGCAGCGGGCCCACGACCAATCCACCCCAAAAAACTTTTCTTTCTAAAGGGTCAAATCTGCTGGTATCCTGAAAAGGCAACTGAAAAGTCGTTGCAGATGAGTCATTTGAACAGCGGAATAAAGAAGATGGAAAAGGAAGTAAGAACTTCTGATAGGCAACAGGAATTAAACCTTTTTTACAAAAGAAAAATGTATTAAAGATCAATTAAGAAACCTTCGCAGACTCGAACCTCCAGTGATTATTGCCTTCCGAGTCTACAAAATTCCACCATCTCAAGCCAACCAAGAGTCGACCAGTTATATTTTTAACCGTCCAAAAGTCTACCGACAAAAGTGACAACTGGAAAAAAAAAATGTCTAATGGCTAAAAATGAAAAAATGAAAACCTGGTCATGGAGGCCTCACAATTATTAGGAATTGTATTATAAAAGAGTCGGTAAACATATATGCAAGCACATAGAAAAGTATAGCCGCAGCACGAAAGGCTATGTGAGAAAGAACAATTGCTGGATGCCTGCAAACAAAGCTTACAAACATAAGCTGATGAGGAAGTAATTATATTACGATGGGAAATACTTAGCAACTAAAGTAAGAATCAAATGTCCAACCAACGTATGCAAGCATTAACAACAAAATACTGGTAGAAAAAATTGATCTTTAAGTGAATATAAAGAAAAATATAAAGCTGTAAAACTTTCCTCGCAATGATCAGACGTTAAAGTGCTTACCGAAATGCAGATAAACCAGACGGTCCAGCTAAATGTTGGGTATCACCGAAATTCAATGACTCGCTAAAACTGGCTGCCATTTCTGCTTGAAATAGAGTACTGGATTCTCTACGAACTTTACATTAAGGTATAGATTTCGTCCGCAAAAAGACAGATTTCCTGCAAGTTAACAAATATATAAACAATTGAGCAAGGGTTAAATTTTTTTTTTTAAACAGTTATCAGAGCTGGAGACATTCGGCAATAAGGAACAGAGAACTACGAACAACGAGAAGAAACAGGAAAGCTAAATCAAAAAATAAGACGAAAACAAGTGAGAACGTCTACGTAACACTTGCTTCACAACCAACGCATATAGGTAGCATATCAGTCTGTTGGAGTCTTCATTCACCATTAAACAAACATAGAATCCAAAAACTAAAATCACTACAGTGACTCAGAATAAAGAGCCCTAAAATTAACCGATTTGCGTCCCTCTATGCCGACGAAGATATGCATCTGAGATTAAAAGTTCAGATTACATATTTGGTTAGCTGCCAAGAAGTATGTTGGCAAATTTATTAGGCGCTCTATCAGTTGCAAAAGTTATTGAATTCGGACAAAGGAAAAACTTTCAATCATTTGGCGTTGAAACAGGAATAAACACAGTCATACGTTGTGGAAATGCTACGGCTATGAGTAACTGTTGTAGGGATTTTGATAATTTGTAGAGGAAAATCAGAGATGACTAAACCTTCGACGAAGAATTCGTTTCCTGTCGTTTATAAATTTTTTGTTTATTCCATTCCTTAGAGAGTTCTTTTCAGGTGATATGTTAAAATGTGAAAGCAGAAACAATTTACTTAAGCATTGGTTGTTCCTACCTAAGTAAGATTTCCTGTACTATAATTTATTCAGTTTTTGGACAAACATACTATTTTTTTCCTTTTGGATTTTTTTTTTTTGACCAGTATTTTGTATATTCTTAGCTTTACAAAACTGGAAAGTGGATCTGCGAAGGAAAATTTCTGAGAAAGAGAAGTCAAATTGGAAAATTTGTAATTCTTTTTTTAGTAAGTAGAAAAAAGCAAATAATGTGTAGAAATCTTATGTTTAAAAGCCAAAATAAAGACTAAATTTTCAGTGCAGCAGCAACAGCTGGCAAACGGTGAGGTGAAGGACCAAAGGAAGGTACTCTGAGCAGAGTGTGCATCAGTTTAATGCTCGTCTTCATTGAATTATCGTCACCAATTTCTAGGCTTTTTGCCAGTTCCAAATTTGACTATTGCTAAAGTTTGCAGCCATTTTTTTTTTCGCATTTTTCACTATGGCCAAATTTTGTTTACAATCAACTACACGTACCAATGTTGCTGCTGTTGGAACACTGCACTTAAATGTCTATCGTGAATTTTTATGGTTACATATGGATTTTGTTTTTTTTTGCTTTTGCCTCATTTTTATCATTTATTTTTGGTTGATATTTGCAAATAAATTTTAAGTGTTTTACCCGCTATATCAGTGACTTTTTTCTCGCCTATTTTATACATGTTTATACTGTAATATGAAAAATTGCAGGGCAGACAGTGCTTTGTTGCTAACAATGGTGAGATTTTGGCGTGGCACTTTGCAGCAGCCTTTTGCAGTAAAACTTTTCAAAGGGATTGAGGCAGCACACCCTCAATTTACGAACAGAACTGTTATGGTCAAAAATAATGACATTGATACCGCTTTTATCGCATTAAATAGGTAATACATAATAGTCCATTTAATTCCGAATACTTTTCAAACTTATTTAGTTGTTCCAAAGATATAGACCAACATATCCCATTTTTCGTTTAATCACTCTCCTGTAAAGACTTTGTGAATATGCTGGTCTTTGGTACTAGGTGTTGACAGACACCAAATCTGTGCTTGAGATGTTTGAGGTATTTTTATCGAGATATTTATTTCATTGACGGCATTTGCATTATCATAAAAATATACAGTGTACCTTACACTGCAGTATCTTATATTGCTGGTCTGGAAGTGTAACATAATTTCTAGTGATTAATTGTTTTTAAATGTTGTTGTTTGTATAATAATCTGTTACTAATTTATTCATTACAGGATGATGGAGAATGAAGGCCTTATTTCGATAATTCGAAAAACAACACGCTATATTGTTCCTTGTCAGCAAAGAAGGTTGGCATCATTAGCTGCATCAAAAGCCATATTTAATGAAGATATGAGGTATAAAACAAAATTTTTGTTGAGGAAGAACCGGCCTGATCCGCTTGCTGGTCAAATTACCACGTAAACTGCTTACAGATACATTAATCTTTCTTATAAAATTTACATTGTAAAATTATTGGATTTCAAAGCTGTTATTTGGTGAATTTTTAAGAGATTATTGAAGATGTATGTAGTTATTAAATCTGGTATACTTTTGCTCAGTTTTTGAAGGAGATCGTTGTGCTATTACTTTCTTTCGAGGCTTGTTTTTCGTATTTCTAGGTATGTCTTCAAATTGGTATTTCTCACCTTAGTTGTATTCTTTTCTCACCTTGATTAGGATTTTATCAAAATCCATACAACTGCCAACATCTTTCTTAATAGCAAAGTTTTTTTTGAACATTGCTTAATTTTGGTTAGGAGACTTATTTAAATTAGACTTTCTAATGGAATAGTTATTTTAAATATATAATGCAGAACATGGCTTTCATTTTTCAAAAAAACCCTCATATTTGTCCAGTTGGTAATCTGTTTTGAACGTGGTTTAAACTTAATTGCGTTTGAATTTCGACTTTTTATTTATTTAGTATTGGCTCCTCTGAAGTTAAATTTGTTAGGTTAGAATAAACTATGAGTCCTATAAATTGGTTTTTAGGAGTGAAAAGTGAAAATGTGTTTGACTCTATTACAAGGAGGAATCATTTAAGTTTATGATGTTTTTGTTCTCACACATTAATAGTTTTTGAGTAAATTTATTTTCTTTTAGCCTTGTAAATGGACGACTTTAAAATTCTGATCGATAGAAGTAGGTGATTTTTTATTCTTAGTTCAAGAAAAAAATAATTTTTTTTAGCTGGAAAGTTAAGCAAAACCAAAGATGCGATTTTATCCAACTTTAGGTGAATATTATTATTTATCTGTTTTAAACGCTTGAGTAAAACAAAATTAATGAAGCTTTATCTTTTTTGTGAGGGCTTACCTGGAAGCTTCTGATGTGATTTTTTATTCGTTTGCTTTTGTCAAACTGTTCTTTTGTTCTACTAGGAGCTACACTTCTTCAAATGTTCTTTTTTTCTACTAGGAGCTACCTTCTTCAAATGGCATTTTATTTTAACACCGGTGCTGAGAGGGTTGAAAGATTTACGGCCGACTTGTTTTAGTGTTCAACTGTACTAATTAATTTTAATCACAAGGTACAATTATACGTTTGTTTGAAGTATCATAAGTACCAAAGCATATGTTTTTTATTCTATTGATGGGTTTGTTGTGCGAAGAGGCTGTACACCAGCAGCTGCAATCACTCCCAAGGTACTTGGGTCAGCTTGATCCGTGCACCGCGCAGTCAACCAGCCTTCTTCGAGTCGTAGGGTTGCCAAATGTCTAAAACTGATGCTTTTTGACGGGCTGTAGGTGTTTATCGACTAAACTTATAACGAAGGTTACCTGAAGGAGTCGGGCAGCCCAATTTCGACTGCCTCTTCGTTGGAATGTTCCGTAGGTAGAACGCAACTTCCGAGCAGCTCGGCTCCGTCACGTATCTTTGTGTCGATATTTCGTACTTGACTTATGATTTTGCGCACAATTTTCATCGGTTCTGAAAAAATCTTTTTGAGACGTAAAAATGGTTAGTTGCGGGTGGATTTTTTTTTACAGTTTTTGGTACTTGGTAAACATAAATCTTCTTTGTATTTGGTAGTTTGCTTAGTGTTCATTTCGTTACCCAGAATAAATCAGAAAAGTTTTACTCAAAATCAGATGCCTTGTTGCACAAGACTACTTTTGTCAGCGTTTAAATAATAGTATTGTGGTGCAAAAAGTTTTTTAGGAGAATTCCGTTACACTTTTGTTGTGGTCAATAATAACCGACAATTGAGGGTCTTACCAGTTTGATTCATTAGGTATGACTCAATTTTGGTGCAGATTTTCTCACAGCCTATTGGAAAATTGAATCCAGTAAGGTCAGGAACATCGAGGACGACTAGCAAGTTTGGATGAGGTCGCGACCATTCACAGCCATGTTTTCTGTATTAGAATTTAGAGGGCTTTTTTTGGTTTTTCTACTACTAGGATTTCTCTAAAGTCATCTGTATGTGGTGTTATTGACGAAGAGTTTATTGACTACAGATTGTCGAAAATGTTATTTTTAACTATGTTAGAGAGTTGTCACCGCGCTTCTTCCTCACTCAGCAGAAAAGGCTCTGTTTTTGATAGCTTCCCGTGTTTTTTCCTCCACAACGTTAATTATTATTTTATTTCCTAGTGCAGTAGTACTCACGAGGGAGCATATTAGGTTGAGCTAGTCATGGGAAGTAGAAAGCACCGGTAATTCAAGCACAGATAATTTGACGAGTATGATGCCTTATGCCTCGAAACAAAATTGAGGATGGAGTTGCTTTGCTTTGATCTGGCTATTACTGAAATTCGTTTTGCTATGCTTTCACTATTTTGATGTAAAAGTTTTCAATTTGCTATATTTATCTGTCACTGTATTACGAGTATTAATGTTCTTTCTAGGATTTAAATTTCTAATGGAGTTTTTCTACATATTTATCTTAGACGCTGTCAGCTGCAACGGAAGCATGAGATAGTGCTTGTGTTTTTTTTTTCTTTGATCAGGTAGTTTTCTGTATCTCAGGAATTTATCCAACTGGATACTGAAAGGATTCGATAAAAAAAGCTTTAAAAAATTATTTTTAAAGAGATGTAGTAATAAAATGTAAAAATGTTTGGCTTTTTTTGGTTTCTTTTCGCTTCTTTTTATTCATTTGCTTCTCTTCCACCTCCCTCTTTTTTTCTTCCAGAAACTCCTTTCACTAGTTGTAATCCAGCTACTTCTTCATTGGGGTGAGGAGGGGAAGAATTTTTTATTGGAGAGCGTGGCGGCTGTGCTTTTCTGCGCCAAGTGGTTGTACACTTCATAAACTTAATGGTTAAAATCTTACGGAAAAACTTACATTGGGATTGTTCTTGATGATTCATGGTGGAAAAAACATAAATAAGCAGCTGTACTGCCTACCAGAAACATTAATTCTCCAGTGTTTAGAGGTACCCATTTATTATCTACTGCAATCAGCAATTGGCATGGTGAACGACAGTGTACCTAAGTTTTATGGTACTTTAACGATCAAACCGACAGATATTTGAAACCTAAAATTTGTCGTATCTGGTGTCAAAAAACGGAGATTCTAACATTTTAAAAGGTTCATTCTTAGGAGAAAGAAGTTTTTATAACAGCAAAAGTTTAATGGCTTTGAAGAAGGTACCAGTCACTTAAACAGGATTTTTGGAATTTTAACTGAATTTTTAACACAAAATTTTCAAACTAAATCGTTGTGCTACAGGAACGTTACTGGTATTTTTAAAGTATCTCAATTTTCGTTAGAAAGAAGCTCCTTAAAAATTTTGAAATGAAATTAGTAGTATGGTAAAGACTTCAATGGAACTTTGCCGGTGATAGTTTAATATTCAGATAATCTTTCTACTCTGAAATATTTAGTCTAATTAAATGTATTTTTTTGCTTGATATTGCACCTTTGCAGTAACTGTGAAACGACAGAAAGAATCTGCCGTGTATCAGCCGGTGGCGAGAAAAAAATACAAAAAAAAAGGGAGACTGAAAACGGCGATTACAATAAAAAGAAACAACAACAAAAAAGCATAGAAACTGACCTTCATTCCAACAAAAAAATTCACATCAACAGTATGTGCATAGGAGTCTAAATTCAGAAAGGCAGTTTCTTTGTGCTTCTGCGACATTTATTTGATAGTTGAGTCTTCGAAAAGGTAAGCAAGTTAGATATGATCTGCGGGCAAAAATTACTCACTGCTCTTTTCATGAACGGTTAAATATTTGCATTGTGGAAGTTTTGTTGTCATTTTTTAAAAAACCAGTCAATCTCTTCTAAAGCTTTTTCACTTTCCATTTATGCAAAAAGCCTACTTGACTAACCTCAATTACTACGGTTAAGTTAAGAACCTATGAGGTAAGGTTGCCACTCATTGCCGATTCGCTTCTGATCTTTCGTTTTGGGAAAAAAACCATTATCTTTTTGTCACCAACTGCCTTTCTCTCTTCTTGTTACTTGTTTTTCCAGTAAAAAAAAGCAAAGGAAAAAAAAAAAACAAAAGACGAAAAATTGAACATCACTTGTTTTTCCACTTTTTTTTTTCCACAGATATTTTTGCTATTTAATATAAAAAACAGACTCCTGAAAGTCGGAAATCAACAAGAAAATAATGCAGAAGGAGGTAATAAAGTCGCTAGAAACTACATCTACATTGTTTCCCAATTACTGTTACCGAGATCAAGCTTTAGCTTTTTGTTCTGTACTAACCAGGAACATCTGTGATTATAATTAATTATTTTTTTACTTAACTCAAAGCATAATAGTTTGAGCTGTTTGCCTAACCATTTCAACTTTAACTTCACATTTAAAAGTTTTATTTAATCAAAAAAAATGTAAACTTGGAACAAACAGAGTTGGAAAAACCTACACTGCTAGAAGACAGAACTGCTTTACAGATAGAATCTGAAAGTCAAGTTTTTTGGAGTCATTCAAATTTAGTTAATGACGAAGAGGTCGCTATTTATATAGTCATCTGTATTAAGTAACTCCTTAGTTAAGATAAATTTTGTTTTTATGCTCTAATTTTAATATCAACCTAATTGATGCTTCAATGTCTATTCAAAGCAGTTTAAAACATAGTTCGGTTATGTTTTTGTTTCTTCTACGTTTTTCATTTCTTCTGAATTTAGCGTTGTTCAAAACTTACAACTTTTTCTAATTGGTTGCAAATTTGGAATTTGCAATTTTAGCCAAGGCATAAAACGGCTCTCAAATTTTTAGTGTCATTTTTTTATCGGCAACCTTATTTTAAAAAGTCAAAAGTTCTGTTTTTTCTTTTGCTATTTTTACTACGCTAGCTTCGCTTTGTTATTTAAAGTCTAAAAGCTTCAGTTTAGGATTACATAAACTAAATTGAACGAAAATAAATTTGAACGCATCGTCTACCGATGAAGCAGCTTATTTTACACTTTTTTCTTCACTTTACTTTTTTACTAAATAACGAGTATACAATTTTTTGTACAATCAAAAATCTTACAGAAAAAAAGGAAGGAGAAAAATTTTGAAATATTTATAAGTAGAACTGAAACAGGACTTTTAGAAATTCAAATACAGTATACCAGTTGGATAATTACTGGCAGTTAGCAGCATAATGACGGAGAAAGAAGTGATAAACTTATTGAAAAATTTCCAGCCAAATTAACCATTGGAATTTTTCGGTAACAGATTTTTACAGTTTGCTATTTGTATTTGACA